TTGTGGAGTGCCTGGAAATGAGAAAGCTGATCAACTGGCAGGGGAAGGTGCGAAAAAAGAGCAGCCAGATGTACCAGTCACATACCACCAAAAAAAAAGAATCATTAAATCGATCAGGAAACCACCAGCCCCAGCACAAGACGACTATTTTATTATGGACAGACCAGAACAAGTCATTATCTTCCGCCTCAGAACAGGGCACAACCGATTACGTAACCACATGTACACAAAATTCAAGATAGGCGTATCAGCCATGTGCACCTGTGGAAATGTGCCCCAGACCGCAGATCATGTACTCCATGACTGCACCGATTTTGACACATTAAGGCAAACCTTTTGTCCAGAAAGAACAACAGTGGAACGTAAACTCTATGGACCACTGAATGAACTAACAACGACAGTGAAATTTATACAAGAGACAAAACTGCTGATATAGATAACTTATTTCAGGCGAACGAAAGAAGAAGAAGAAGAACACCATCAAGCTATCTGCCTCTCACACGGTCAAAACACAGCTGACTCTACATCGTCTCTTAGCTCAAAACGTGGGTTCAAACCTCCACGCTTTTCCTCTATCCCTGTTCCCAAAACCCGAGATCTTCAGGACACGCGTTTTCCCCCAAGTCGCTCGTTTCCTGCCCCCCCCCGGACCTTGTCCCCTCAATAGATACACTCTGGGGGTTTCCCTGGGAATTCACCTCACTGCATCAACTTTCCTCATGGCTCGACCCTTTCAGACAGTTTTCCATGTAGTGGCGACCCTCAAGCATAAAATCATTTTTCTTTTTACGTCATAACTTCAGTGAATATGTTTTTTCCGATGGTTTTCGGTGACCCCGGTGAATGGGTCGTTCGACCCCCAAAGAGGTCGCGACCCATAGGATGAGAAACGCTGTCCTATGGGGAAGCTTGGGAGTCACAGTTCATGGCAATCCAGTTGAAGCCATTGATGAAGTTTATCCTCTCCAATAGTATACAAGCCTGGAGAGTATTTAAGAGGTCATGTGTTGCTCACGCACCAAGATCTCTCTCCCAGCATGCCTTGTTTATGATAAAGGAAAGTCAACACTAATCCGTTTAGAACAAAGCAGGCTGCAGAAGCTGTCGGACTGAAAGAGCAATGCTCTGCCTGTCTGTTTGTCAGAGCTTTCCCTCCTACACCAGCTGCAAGCCAAGGGTAAGGACCTGGTCTGCTCAGCCGTAACATGAAGATTTCAGGTCGCGTTTCCTCTTCCTAAGATAAAGCTAGTATCCTCCCCCAATGCGCTCCGCCTTCTAATGTGCTTTCCTCTCTAATTTAATATTTTTTTTTTTCATGCTGTTGAAAATACTTTTGACCATTCATTATATCGTTTCAATTCTTTTTCTCCTCTGCTGTCGACTGGTGCCTTATGTGGTTAACTGGCGGGAACAATTGGGGATTGGAAGAGGGTAAAGGGAGGGGGAATTGGGGGGGGGGGGCGCTTTAAAAAAATAAAGGAAACCCATTCTATTTCCCAATCACTTAGTATATAATTCTAAGTGATTACCTCTGCCAAGGGCGCCGACGCAGTAAAAACATTGGGTGGCGAGATTACAAAAAAAAAAAAAAAAAAAATGCTGGAGGGCTCCCTGAGGGGCAGAATCCTAGTTTAAGAACCTAATTATAATATTGTGCTGAATGGTAAATACATATAATAATACAGTTAACATAACATGAAACACACAAAGACATACTTTTGGAAGATAATTTCTATACAAATTCAAAGGGAACAACTAAAGACCCATTACTGAATTATTGGGTTGGAAGGCCTTAAACGGGCCTGAACACAAAGGTTGTGCGCCTAATATAATTCAGTCCCTCGCGTGAGTTTGACTGTACTGTCAGATTACTTAATAAATAATTGATCACCTTAGAGAATTGCCTAGAAATTCCGGTCCAGTTTTCAAACGAAACGGGCACTTTGTAAGGAAAGGTCGTACAGTTGAATGGTGGAGTAAACGAGAAAGGTGGCATTCAAATTGAAATGCCACTGCCTATTTTTGTACCGTTGTGTCAGAGATGGATTTGTGGTATTTTATGGCTTCCATCATAGGGGTGGGGGAGGTATTGTACTGAAGAGAATCAGGACTATATTTCCTTGAAAAAAAAAAGGGTGCTAGCTCTCGCCATAAGTCGGCGTCTGTAGCAAAGGCGCTCCGTAATTCTGAGGTGCTGTGTTCGATTCTAGCTTCAGCGAACTAGGGAGTGGCCCTCCTTGCGTTGGCTTCGACAACGGTATCGAAAGCGGACCGTTCAATTAGCAATGGCAAATATATCTGGGGTTGGTTCTGCAACGTTCTGTAAAGGAAACGCAACTAAATTTTAACTCACTACAACGTTTCTGAACAGGCGCTAGTACTCAGGGAATAGTGTCTATTACAGTAGTACTGAAAAAAAAAAAACTTTAAAAAAAAAAAAAAGGTGGCAGAACGTTATACTGCCAGAAAAAAAGAAGAACCTAGGATAGAGGGCTTGCCCGTTGACTCTTTAATAAAGGGTTTGAAAAGCACAGGTTGAGGACGTTCTAAATTAACTCGGTTTCCAAGGAAGACGAAGTCTAAATAAAACAGATGTGATGAGAAATTAAGTCGACCGGCATGATTTTGACAGAATCACATGTCCAGTGTCAAATAATCTCGAAGAGCACGAAGTTGTCTAGGAAACAGCAGCTCTCTGATAAATACCTTCCTTATCCTGGTTTTGACCGTCAACCTACGAGCATTGCAATAAAAATGATTTCAGATCGAGAATTGATGAATACACCACATTGTTGATCTCGAAAAGCATATTTTCAAAAGAAGTGAGAAGTACAAGGTCCGACAATTAAGTAATGAGACTAATTCCATAGCAATTTAAAAAAAAAAAATCAACAAGTGAAGATATAACCTGCATTTCATTTAAAGTAGGCCCCTCGATACAGTGAGTAGTAAGATCTAACAAACACTGGAACGACCTCTGTAGTTGTTTTGTTGCTATGGCCCTTAAAGTCGATGTTACGGCCCTTTGGGTGTCATAAATTTCATCAAAAAAGCGTCCTTTCAATGGTAGCTTTAATTTTGGGAATTTAAAATAATCACACGGAGACACATCTGGGGAATAGGGTGGATGTTTGAGAACACACACTTGTTTTCGGGCCCAAAATTCCTGTTTTGGTGATGTCTCGTGTGTACACAACCCGTTGATGTTTTTGGTCGTCAGATACCGCAAGCGGTACAAACCTGCGAGCATTTTTTATGTGTGGCCAAAACCTTTCTACGCCACGTCTGAATCGTGAATACCACATGAAAATATGTGCTGCAGATAAACAATTATCCCCATAAATTTGTGGCATCAATTGAACTGTTGCAATGGCGCTTTTTCTGAGTTGTAAACATAATGTAATGTTAGGTTTTTGTTTCATGCTGATTTCGTAACGATGCACATCTAACTAGGTCAATAAAATGGCGGCTTGTTTGTCGTCTGCTTATCAGGCAGCGATGCAAAGTTGCCAGATCATAGACGAAGGTTGCCTCTTTGGATTCAATGCTTTGCTTCATAAATGACACATTTGTCTTGGCCGTAATAAAATCAGTCTCATTACTTAATTGTCTGACCTTGTGTATTCCAAAATGGGTAGGAGCAAGAACACACATCTCCTTCACTCCATTGTTGATTACAAACTTTTAGGATTTTGCAACGTCAAAGTTGATTGTAATTTTCATACCTGCGTGGAACGACTCAGTAAAACTCTGTAGAATATGCGACACCTAATCTTCGTGAGCGTGTTGAACAGACCTTTTAGACTGATCAGTTCAAATAAATACCTTGTTAAGATCAATAAAAGCTGTATACAGTGGTTGATTTTGTTTACGAATTTTTTTTTTCAACCGTCGTAAAGAAAATCTCATAAAAGTGGGAGACAGGTTCCCACTTCATACAGTAGCATTATCTGCTATGCACTTAAGTATTTTTAGTTAGTTGTGTATCCTTTACAGGACGTTGCAGAATCAACCCAACAATTTTTTGGCTGTTGTGGTTTTTACAGGCAGATTTTACTTCAGTAGTGTGCCATTGCTTTCTAAACTGTCAGCTCTCCGTACCACTGTTGAAACCAACGCAAGACAGAGGGTCTGCAGCTGGGATCGAGCCCGGCACCCCGGCATTACGAAGCGAGTCCGCAAAGCCTAATCCACAGACGCCGACTTAGTACATGTAAATGTTTTAACGTGAACGAGGCTTTGCAATCAGCGACCTGTCTTCAAAACAACTGTCTTTTACTGAACTCCTTATGCAACATTTTAGGCCAGTGGTTCACACCCGCTGGTCTGAAAATCCGTTGTGTAGACACTGCTCTTATTTATCACCTCTCTTGATGAATTCATCCCATTTAATTTCCATTACTTTCCTCGGTGTATTTATATACCAATTCTCTCCATTATTGGGACATCTAAACATAACTAAAAGTGCAAAGAGACAGATATAAACAGCATATTCATTCCAATATTAAGCTGCTAGTGCAAAACATGGACATTATCTAAAGCCCATGTACCCAAAATCATTACTTGCAAGACGAGATGCATGAGAAAAGCAGCCAGCATAACCATTCGAGATCGAGTGAATAATGATACCATTAGACTAATTGTGGTAACGACACCTTGTACTTGATTTATCCAGAAATAGCAGATCGATTGGTTTGACCATCTCGTTAGAATGCAGCAAGATCAAATACCCTCACAAGCACAACATGTCAGAAGATCAGCTACAAGAGCAAGAGGATGGCCGTACTAAGTATGGATCGACAACATTAAAGACACTCTACGCCTTAACGGAGTGCCAATAGCCAGTGGCAGCCAGCCTACACTGGATCGCAAATTATTCCTCCCATAGCGCTTAACGACAGAAGTGTTTTGTGCGATAATGATGTCTTTCCTTAGACGTTTGTTTTCGAATACATTCAACTTTCGTTACCCTTCATAATGCTTGATTCTATTTCCCTCAGGTGGCAGATCTCAAACAACAGCTCAAAGAAGCAAAAGCTGGAAATAACAACAACAAGGATTCCACACCGGACAGAAAGGTAACAGTTTCATCATCTAGCTAGTCATCCTTTGATATTAGGATTTCTAACTTACCCTTATTCTGATTCTCTCTCCCCCCCCCCCCTTTTTCCACCCCCCATTAAAGAAAAGGGTAGGATCGCATTCTTGTTAGTGAAATTGCTAACGTGTCTTACTCTAGAAACCATGGCAGGATCGTTAAGCTGAATATTATTTGTCAGATATTATAAGGCAAACTTCTTGATTGGTGTAGCGAGTGGTAAAACGTAACTCGACTGTCGCAACTGATTTTTATACTGTCCAGACTGTTAGTACAACTGTCTTGTCAGGCAACACATATTTAAATTTGAAACACGGGTGTTTAACTGATAACTACTGGTAATACGACAGTTTAGATTGGTAGTACGACTGTCTTGGTGATAATACACATGTCTATGGCGACCCCCAAAATACAATTATTTTCGTTGCTACTTCATAACTTCAATGAATATGTATTTTGAGATAGTCTTTGGCGACTCCTGTGAAAGAGTCGTTCGGCCAAAAAGGGAACACGGCGGTCTAAACTGGTAACAGGACTGTTACGATTAGTATAGTCAGTTTCAGAAGTAGCGCTCAACTTTAAAAAATCTGTAACGCAGTAACCGTTCTGTGTAAGTTGGTGTCGGTTAAATATTTAAAAAAAAAAAAAAAATTAACAAACAAATATTTTCATTTTTTCTTATTTTCGGTATACATAAGAAAAAAAAAAAAAAAACCAGACACCGATTCACAGCAAACAACCAGCATGCTGACAGTTAACTAAGTAAACGAAACATTTAAAAACATCAAACTGCAGGCGTTTCATAGGTGTCTGACTCTCTGGTGGTCACCTCCAGCATCCCGTGAGTTACAAAAAACATATTTGTTCTCTCTATTCTAGGCAGGATAGGGTATCCAAATATACACCGTGCCTCGCTGCACGTGTGCAGTAATTTCTAAACAATCTCTACGCGTGTCATTTACTGTATATTCTATTTTTAGGGTCACACAAATCTTAGTCAAGCAAAGATCAAAGAAATATCGCGCTTAAAGAAAACAGCAGCACCTGTGCAATTATACATTTTAAATCATAAGGAAATGTGAAATCTAAGATCACGTGGAAAAATTCGCATTGATCCGTACAAGAGTTTCCGAGATATTTGTTACAGTCTGAGGGCAAAACTTTTGGAATTCACTATGATTCGATTGTTGCGACTAGTAATACAATTGTTGCGAAGAGTAACATGATTGTCGAGAATGGTATTGTGACTGTCCATTCTGGTATCGCGACTAGAATTCTAAATAGCAAACATGACCATTGCAAATGGAAACACGACTCTCGTGACTGGTTACACAGCTGTCTAAACTACACTCCAAGACACTATTGGAAAACTCATGGAAAAAATCGTGGCCAGAACGTTAACCCAAACACTGGAGTCAGGTGGCCTATTCCCTGCTACACTAGGTGGGTACCGACCAGGAAGAGATACATGGTGCAATGCTGCAGTATTTGCCTACGACATATATGAGGGTTTCTAGGAGGGAATTGAAACGGCAGCAGCCGCTATTGACTTAGAAGATGCGTACAACAGCGTCCCATACATCATGATCATCAGACTGCTGTGGGATATGCAGATAGAAATAAAATTGGTCAACTGGATCGCTGCAGCGCTCTTCGAAAGAACAGTGTCGCTCGATGTGGTGAATAGGCATCCGAACCTCAACGCGTCCTAATGGGTCTGCCCCAGGGATCACCATTGTCGCCTGTGCTCTTCAGTGTGTACACAGCAGGAGTCACGAGTGCACAACGCGTAGGCCTATGCAGAACAATGTCGTATGCAGATGATATCCTTGTTTACCGTCGAGGTAAAAACAGGCAGGAGATTACAACCACACTTCAACACGAACTAGACAGACTTAGTGAGTTGTGTCAGGAATCAAGAGCTCAGGTGAACCCGTCCAAAGCCTCCTTAACATGGTTCTCTCTGAATACCCACATCGTCAGTACATCAACGCCTGTCGTAAGCATATGTGGTGTGGATATAGAGAGAACGGACACCATGAAATACCTGCGCATGATATTTGACAGATGCTTGTCATACAAATGCCACATAGACAACGTCATACTTAGAGCCAGGAAAGGTCTGACAGCACTCAAGATGCCAGCAGCAGCTGATATTGAACAACGCCTCTTTTCCTTCTCTGTCAAGGGCTTCTGCTTAGCGTCATTGACTATGGTCTTGGCCTCCTCACTCTCAGAAAAAACCCAGCTAGAAAGACTGGACCGAGTACAAAATGAGGCTATGAGATTCATACTCGGCTGCACAAAAGATACCTCCTGCAACGCCATGCGTTATATCCTGGGTTTGCCGACGATGACTAGCAGATACAAAGTAGCACAGGTCAAGGCTTACATGAGGGTATCGGCAGACGTTAACCACCCACTGCACAAAGCTATACACGACACAAAAGGAACGCGTCTCACAAGAGGCCGCTCTTGGATGGCAAAGGCTGAGGATTTAATCCAGCAGGCATGTGACCTAGACGTGATCAGTCACGGAAAGGATGGACGAATACACCAGTAGATATGCATGGCATCTCTAATGTTGTCATCACACTCGGAAGGTACTGCCGGGATCAAATTCCTGCGGCAGTAGACACAGAAGTAAGGAAACTGATAAATCAGCATTCAGACCTAGAAGATATCACCATCTACACATAGACGGATCCGTGTAACGCGGATCAAGGTCAGCATGGACATACACAGTGCAAAGAAAACAATACGGGAGTACAGCGGCGCTTACCAGACAACCACGTCAAGCATGACCATGGAAATAGCCGCTGCTTCTAGAGCTTTAGCATGGGTATCCGATCAAACCGCCACACAGGCAGCAATTGTCTCAGACTCCATGAATATGCTTCATAAGATAGCAACAGGCGGTATGCACTCTGAATGGGTAGAAAGCATTCCAAAATCGAACTTAACCTTCGTAACCTGGATCTACACACCGCGTCTGCTGGCGTAAAGGGAAATGAAGGAGCTGCCAACTGGCAAGCACTGCACTAAGGATTGCGATAAAAAGCATGGACATAGCAGATATCGTCAACGCTGTACGGACTGGGCTATTGGTTAATGAGGAGTCCCCGACACTGGCACGATTGCGTGACATGGGAGTAAAGTATGGTGAAGCACGTCTTTGCCGTCTTAGAGGCCGAGATAGAAGACAATATAACCAGCTTCTCATTGGAACAGTTAGTAGAAGTACTTTAGAGTGGCTGCTGCCACGGAGGACTGAGCACGCATGGGAATGCCCAATGTGCACTGACGTCGATTATGATAACAGAAAATAACATAACATCTTGTAGGGAGTTGGCAGTCCGATACCCAAGTTCATGGTGTCACCTTCGTGCCAAAGAACTGCATGGCTGTTGGGTGAACAGTCGTTAACGAAGGCAGTTAGGTCGTTGTAGGGGTGACGCTTGCTGGGGGATGTAATGTCCTAAGTCCCTTCCCCAGCTAAAAGTGAGGGTACTGCTAGGATGACCATTTGTAAACCCTCACATAATGCTTCAGATAAAAATGGACGTTAGGCACAGCCACTTATTTTAGCCGTGGCAAATTATTTTTTGCTTCTACCAGACGGTGACCGTTGCATTTTGCTCCATTTGTAGACTGGAAGGATATAGTTTCGTTGCCCAGCTTCTTTGAGTGCATGGCGTGACACTGTGAGCTGCGGATTTCATTTGAACTGTGATAAACATTTTGTGTGTTTTTCATTGGCACAGGAGCGGAGCAACTATGGGGTGACCCATTTGCTGTGAAGCTGAAACTAAGATTACCAGATTACCAGATTATTACTGTGTAAACGTGTATCGCGACTGTTTAAATTGATACAACGACTCTCTAGGCTAGTGATACTACTGTCTAAACTGGTAGCAAGACTGTTGCCGCTATTAATACGATTGTCGTGATTGGTTACACTTCTGTATGGATCGATAACAGGACTGTCACTGTTGGTAGAACGACTGTTTAGGCTAGTAACATGACTGTCGCTACTGTTCAGACTGGTAATACGAATGTTTAGATTGGTAATACGAATGTCTAGGCTGGTAATACGAACGTCTAGATTGGTAATACGAACGTCTAGATTGGTAATACGAATGTCTAGATTGGTAATACGAATGTCTAGATTGGTAATACGAATGTCCTAGCAGATGAAACGACTTTTCAGACTGACAGACTGAGAATATAACTGACCGTCACGACTGGAAAAAAGACTAATTCGACTGTAAACACGACGGTCTAAATTGGCATACAGACGTTTGCACTGGTAATACGATTGTCTTGACTAGTGTGACGTGTAGATAGTTTTAGTTTCTCGTGCTTCTCTTCATGACACAATGCATGATTTATCCAGACTATATAGTTCTTGTATTTAGCAACTGTGTGTATTCCCAGTTTCTGTTTGTTGCATTTTAGCTTAGTTTTTAAAAGTAATATTTTATGCTGTTTGTTAAAGACATCGAACTTCTATAGTATTGTGTATTTTGACAGTTCTCACTCTTACGCTGCTCTCATACAGCTACCAAGTCTTAAATCTCAAAATGACCCCAGTATTAATCTGTTCACATCCCGCCCCATTCAAACATTCTGACAACTCTCTTTCCTTATTATTTATATTTCTCACCCCTCCCCTTTGACAATGTGTTGTTCACTATTATTATTTTTTATGAATATCTTTTTTATGTTTGCACACACCCATGTCATTGCATATACACATTTAACAGAATATAATCTGCATTTGCGTTGAGTTTGAAATTGAAAAGGGAATAAATATTTTATTTATAATGTAATCAAATGAAATAATTTGAAACGATACATTTCATATGAAATAACGATTCAACACGTGATGTAAGTAGTGCAGTTTTGCAGTCTGATTCAAGCGTGTCATTTTGATGGATATCCACTTGAAGCGATATCAGTTCCCAAAAACATATTTTA